GGACCGTCGGGGATTGAACGCCGACGTGCATGAAGCGAGACCGCCGCTCTACCGTCCAGTCCAAGTGGGGGGGGGGGGGGTTAGGGGCTGGTGGAAGTAATTTGGAAGCAATTTGATTCATAGAACACCTTACATCTCCGACACTTGCCTCCTCCTCCTACCACCTGATCTTCCTGTACTCATTAACATCATGTTGTGTATCGTCCCAGCACCGTTACTGTGCGTTAACACCTCACAGTAGCCCTCAAGCACAACCGTCAACTGTGGCTCCCGCGTCATGGTCGTCCCCACTTTACCGTAACTGTGCTGCCCCCACACTCTCCATGCATCGTCGCAAAGCACTTTCCATAAGCCATTACGGTAATTATCCAACAAGTGGTGGCACTGCGCTCGTCACGTCACGCTGATATCGGCTGCTCGCACTCTTTCCTGTCAGGAGAGATACTCGCCTGACCTTTCCTGGATCTTCATTTACCAGTTGCTAGCGGTGATAGCTTGCTAGATCTACGATTTACCGTCAATCCTGCCTCTTTCGCTTCTGCTGTAAATTAATTTAAATGATAAGAAAAAATAAATAAAAAGGACTTAACACCAGAAATGATGAGATATTCCCTTTGCACGAGAGAAAGAGAGAGAGAGAGAGAAAGAGAGGAGAAAGGATATAAAAAAGAGAGGAGAGAGGATATAAAAAAGAGAGGAGAGAGGATATAAAAAAGAGAGGAGGGAGGAAAAGAACAGCGCCTGCACGTAGAGGATAAGAGAGCAGCAGTAGCAAAAGTGAAGCTAAACTACAAGGAATAAAAATTGGAGGAAATATAAGCGAGAAAAGACTGGATAAAAGAAAATAGGAACTGAAGGCTGGAGGGCAATATGACAAATCCAGGTGTTGATAGTAGTCGATCGTGGTGGTGGTGGTTGTTGGTAGTGGTGGTTGACGCTGGGTCAAGACGGAAAGCAAGTAATAATGAACAGCAGGCGCCAAGAAAGGTTGCAGGTACTTCGCGAAGAGTGACCAGAGGGGGGGGGGGGGGGAGTGACCCCACTTCCACCCCGCCTACCACCACCACCACCACTCTTGTATCTGGTGCGGTGTTTACAACTATTGATCTCCCAGTTCTTGGTGGTATCTGGAGGTTGTGTACATACAAGTGGCTGCCACGAGACTGCTACTATTAATATATTCCACTTTAGAGTATTTATCTACTTTCCATCTTTCCATTTGTTCTATTTTCTTTCACCTTAAAGAGGCTGCATTTGCCACCTTGTATATTTTCCTTCAATATCTTGTATGTCATCATCTTTCTCTAATGGTGTTAATTTATTACGGTGTCCTGCCTTATTTTCTAATCCTCGCTACCTTACACTAATCAGTGTTGAACTCTATCAGCCATTTCTCTGCCCACTCCCGGGGTTAGTGTCTCCCCTGTGGTTCCATGTAATACTCTGTGTTTACATTGATGTTAGCTTTGTGTCCTCTACCGTCGTACATTGATTTGTACGACCTCGCTCCTTTAGTAAGTGGTGGGAATAGTGGTTATCATTGTGGTAGTACTGGTGGTGGTGTAGGTGGTGGTGTAGGTGGTGGTGTAGGTGGTGGTGTAGGTGGTGGTGTAGGTGGTGGTGTAGGTGGTGGTGTAGGTGGTGGTGCAGGTGGTGGTGCAGGTGGTGGTGTAGGTGGTGGTGTAGGTGGTGGTGTAGGTGGTGGTGCAGGTGGTGGTGTAGGTGGTGGTGTAGGTGGTGGAAGTTAAGAGGAGTGAAGGATGAAGCGGCCGTTCAATACTAGTATTGACAACCGCCAAGAGCTCGCATAGTTCCACCCACCAGCTGAATCCTGTCCCATCTGCTGCCCCCACACTCCCCACTCTGCTGCCCACAGCCCACACCCTCCACCCAACATACACACAGCTGTCGACACACAGGCATAAGAAGCCTTGTGTTCGAGCAACTGTGTGTTGTGGTGGCGGCTTCCACACACGCCATGTTGCTAGAGCCTCTGCGGGCCAGGACCTCAAACATCTTCCTAACAGATGCAACGAGTGCCCGCGTATAACGGTATACCCTCACGTACACACACTTAAGTAACAGGAAATATGACTGCACGACAGGTGGCCCACGAGTCTAGCTTGTGTTCGCAGCTGCTGCTCTTGACACCTGTAAATATTGAGCATACTTACACCATCAACACCTGGTTCATGGCCTCCCACACGGCTCAACTCTCTTCCTTCCTTCCTTAATTCCTTCCTCCCTCCCTCCATTCCTCCCTAGCAGTCTGTCCATCCTTGTACCTGTCCATCCTGTCACTTGTACGCAGCTGGGGATTACATAACTTGCCTGTAGTTTACCTGTAGTCGGTTTACATTTTTTTTTAACTCAACACCAGCCTAAAGCCAGGCTTCTTTGGTGATAACTTGATCAGTCAACCTGTTGTTGCAAAGCCCGCATATCCATTACAGCCAGATAAATCCCGTCACTTCCTGTAATGGGAGGGGGAAAGTCCCTAACATGGCCTCTAAGTTGGGTTTTGAAATTGAAATAAGTTTATTGAGGTAAAATACACACAAAGGGATGAGGTAGCTCAAGCTATTCTCACCCCGTTAAGTTGGGTTAGTAAGGCCCTTTGACACTATAGACAAAAAGTCTCCAGTAAAGTGAATAAGGCCCCTGACAGGGAACTTAATAAGACCCTAGGGGGGAAGGGAATAAGACCCCTGACACGAGGGATGGATTAAGGTACCGGAAAGAGGGAGCGTCAGACTTCCAGAACCGTACGGCCCCTGACAGGGAAGTACCAGGGGTATAGTCCCTAGCTTACCAAACCAGTATTTATCCAGGTCTTTCCCGAGTCTAAACTTATTCAATTTATATCTATTGTATCAAGTTCTATTTTGTATTCGTATACGTAAAACCTGATTTATATCCCTGTAATATACACTTTCACCCACTGATGCCTGCTTGATGGGGTTTTGGGAGTTCTACTCTTGACTTATGAGTTTGGTCCACCAGGCTGTTGCTTGGAGCGGCCCGCAGGCCCACCACAGCCCGATGTACTTAAGTCATGTCGCCCTTCACCTCACTCGTCTTGTTGATAACACACATACACAAATCACACTTACGTGATATATACGAATGAAAAATATCCCCTCAGAGCTCCAGTTGATTTCCTCTTTGTTGAGAATGTAAAGTTAAGTTACATTATCTCTCGCCAAAGTCAAATAAAACGAACAATGCGTTTTGTATTGTTACTCCTTAAATTAATTAATTGGAAAGTATATATATACAGGATATAGAAAGTAATAGTGCTGAGCAGTTTTGGCACGAAGATAAACATCTCAAACCTTAATTTTTGGCTTAAAATCCAATCTGCCATCCAAACAGTTTAGTACTTGGAGTTACTATGGAAAAAAGTACAAAAGATGAACTGTCGCATGGAAAAAAAAAATAGACCACATTTTTGTACAATTCATTTTGTGGAGGACCCGAGAAAAAAAAAGAGGCAAAAATTTAAACTAACTTCAAGTGCAAGTATTTCTACATACTAGGCCGTACATTACTAAATTAAACCTAAGACAGCACATACGCAACAAAATAACAATAACCTGATATATCCACGAGAGAATCTTTGGAGTGGGGGAGGGGAGTGGGGGAGGGGAATGGGGGGGGGGGGGAGGTGGGAGTGGTAGGTGGGTGTGAGGGAAGGAGGGGGGGGGAGGTAGGAGGGAGGACGAGAGGGCGGAGGGAAAATTGGGATAGATTCGAGACGGAGGGAAAGGTGGTGGTGATAAGAGGTGACAGAAGCATCAGGTGAATGCAAGTGGTAGAGGGGGGGGGGGGGGGAAGAGAGATAGGGGGAAGAGAGGGGGGGGAGGGGGAGGGGGGGGGGGGGAGGAGAGAGGGGGGGGCAGGAAGGGGGAAGAATTATGAGAAAGCGTCAAGCCATTACGACTATATAACACTTGGAAGGGGTCAGGATAAGGACTTGGAATGGGACGGGGTGAAAGGAATGGTGCCCAACCACTTGTGGACGATCGGGGATTGAACGCGGACGAAGCGAGACCGTCGCTCTACCGTCCAGCCCAAGTGGTTGGTGGGGAGGCGAAATAAAAAAAAAAAATAGAAAAACGATTAAATGAAAAATTCCTGTGCGCAGCAAAACCAGGGAGTGGGGGGGGAGAGGGAGGGAGAGGGGGGGAGGGGGGGAGAGGGAGGGGGGGAGGGAGGGGAGGGAGAGGGGGGGAGAGGGGGGAGAGGGGGGAGAGGGGGGAGAGGGGGGAGAGGGGGGGAGAGGGGGGAGAGGGGGGGGGGGGAGGGAGGGAGAGGGGAGGAGGGAGGGAGGGAGGGAGGGAGGGAGAGGGAGGGGAGAGGGAGGGAGGGAGAGGGAGGGGGGGAGAGGGAGGGGGGAAAGGGAGGGGGGAAAGGGAGGGGGGGAAAGGGGAGAGGAGAGGGAGGGGGGGGAAGGGAGGGGGGGAAAGGGAGGGGGGAGGGAGGGAGGGGGAGGGGGGAGGGAAGGGAGGGAGAGGGAGGGAGGGAGAGGGAGGGGGGGGAGGGAGGGAGGGGGAGGGGGGAGGGGGGGAGAGAGGGGGGGGGGAGGGGGGAGAGGGGGGGGAGAGGGAGGGGGGAGGGAGGGGGGGAGGGAGGGGGGAGAGGGAGGGGGGAGAGGGAGGAGGGAGAGGGAGGAGGGGAGGGGGGGGGGAGGGGAGGAGAGGGAGAGGGAGGGGGAGAGAGGGAGGGGGGAGGGAGAGAGGGGGGGAGAGGGAGGAGGGAGAGGGGGGGAGAGATACGAGTAGGAGGGTAGGGAAGGTGTTTACTAGGATGATGGATGACAAACCAACCAAGCCCCTACCCTTCCCCAGCACCAGGCGAAGGACCCCAATACCGGAGGGAAGAAAATGGAACATAAAGGAGGGGAAACATAAGTAGAGTCATTACCAGGCTCTCCCCCCCCCCCCCGCCAGCCGGACTCTTCACGACGACAACACCATAATAATGGCGGGGAATGATTAATGGAGGAGGAGGAGGAGGAGGAGGAGGCGGAGGAAGAAGAGGCGGAGGAAGAAGAGGCGGAGGAAGAAGAGGCGGAGGAAGAAGAGGCGGAGGAAGAAGAGGCGGAGGAAGAAGAGGCGGAGGAAGAAGAGGCGGAGGAAGAAGAGGCGGAGGAAGAAGAGGCGGAGGAAGAAGAGGCGGAGGAAGAAGAGGCGGAGGAAGAAGAGGCGGAGGAAGAAGAGGCGGAGGAAGAAGAGGCGGAGGAGGCCGAGGCGGAGGAGGCCGAGGAGGCGCCGGAGGCAGGAGGAAGAGGAGGAAGCCGTATGTGTTGAGACACCGTAGCCGGAGCTTGGGGGGTCTTAGCTACTGCCCCAAGTACAGAAGCCAGATTCACGAAGCGGTTACGCAAGTACTTACGAACGTGTACATCTTTCCACAATCTTTGACGGCTTTAGTTACATTTATTAAAACAGTTTACAAGCATGAAAACTTCCCAATCAACTTTTGTTTGTTATAAACAGCCTCCTGGTGCTTCCGAGCTCTCAAACTGTTTAATAATTGTAAACAAAGCCGCCAAAGATTGAGAAAAGATGTACAGGTTCGTAAGTGCTTGCGTAACTGCTTCGTGAATCTGGCCCCCTACTGGACCAACTCTTCCTGGCCCAAACGTCAAGTTACAATTTAAAACCAAAACTTACCTTCATGGTCTTGTACAAATGTTTATGTCAGTATGGGAAGCGAAGCATCTTCAAATACAGTGAACAGCGAGTAGTGACCCTCGCATTAGTGGGACACACACACGAACACGGGCAGCAAAGACAGTAACGTTAACAAGTTCACAAAGTGTGTGAACAACCACTTGCCGGGACAACCACTTGCCCAGGACAACCACTTGCCCAGGACAACGAGGCGGGCAGATCTCGAAGTGATCATTCAATCCAACTTCAGTTTTCCTCTCCAATACAAACACAACTGTTTTGTCTACCCAGAAGTGTACTGACCCAAGCGGCCCACCGGAGCCACGGACACCGATGTGCAGAATCCGACTACGATTCATAGGACTCATACGTCAGGCTGCGAGCAGCCGCATCCAACAGCCTGGTCGACGACCGGGCCGCGGGGAGGCTAAGCCCCGAAAACACTTCAAGGTAACCTCAAGGTAAGATGGTCAACAGCGTGTGCCAGGTTGATGAATAGGAACGTCGAATGATACCTGGTTGATGGGGTTCTGGGAGTTCTTCTACGCCCCAAGCCCGGCCCGAGGCCAGGCTAGACTTGCGAGAGCTTGGTCCACCAGACTGTTGCTTTGAGCGGCCCGCAGGCCCGCATACCCACCACAGCCCGGGTGATCCGGTACAAGTTCACGTTCAATGCACAACACAAGAGACTACACTGACTTAACAGTTCTGTGAGACTGTACTTGTAATGTACGCCCTACATCAGACAAGAAGTCTTATAATCTCTTAAACTATGAGAGAAGATTAAACCTCCAGGACACCTTGAAGACATTAAAGAAACAAGATCCACTTCAACAAGAAATATTTCAGACGCAAGGGGACTCAACAACAGTAAACAATATGAAGAAACTTTGCGTAAGAAGAGGCAACCAACGTGGTAAGGAGAAAGAGCTTTGCTTGCACGGTTGTTTTGAACTTTGTGCAATAATTCACCCTCCGAGATCGAGGGAGCAAAATTAATGCAAACCATTACAACAGCTGGATGCTTACCCAGGGACTATTAACACTAAATAAACAGATAGCAAACTCTGAGAGAGAGAGAGAGTGTGAGAGAGTGTGTGTGAGAGAGAGAGAGAGAGAGAGAGAGAGAGAGAGAGGAGAGAGAGAGAGAGAGAGAGAGAGAGAGAGAGAGAGAGAGAGAGAGAGAGAGAGTGAGAGAGAGTGTGAGAGAGAGTGTGAGAGTGTGTGAGAGCGAGTGTGTGTGAGAGAGAGAGAGAGAGAGAGTGTGAGAGCGAGTGTGTGAGAGAGAGTGTGAGAGAGAGAGTGTGAGAGAGAGAGAGAGAGTGTGAGAGAGAGCGAGTGTGAGAGAGAGAGAGAGCGAGTGTGAGAGAGAGAGCGTGTGAGAGAGAGAGAGCGAGTGTGTGAGAGAGTGTGTGTGAGAGAGAGTGAGAGCGAGTGTGAGAGAGAGAGAGAGAGAGAGAGTGAGTGAGTGAGTGAGTGAGAGTGAGTGAGTGAGTGTGTGTGTGTGTGTGTGTGTGTGTGTGTGTGTGTGTGTGTGTGTGTGTGTGTGTATCATCAAAGCACCAAGCCAAAATCAAATACTTACATCAATCTTGCAGTTGAAGCAAGGCGTCAAACACCGACTACCGTAGGTGTTAATGAGGCCGTGTTTAAAGTGTACAGCAGGAAGCCAATAGGATATTTTACATAAAGTTTTCTCTCAAATATAACTGAGTTATATTCATATCGTGGGTTTATGCATAGTTGTCAGTCATTTCTAACTTTACATAGAAATTTAATATATAATAATATTAACTTATGTATCAAAACAAACCAATTTTGAATACACCGTATGTTAAAAATTTATGAATGTGTCCGTGAAGGGGGAGTGAGAGGCCGCCGCTCTAACGAACCTGGCCTGAGGACGAAGCGATTGACTAATGCCCTTTCTATCAATTCAGTATTTGACTCGTGTTGACGGTGGGGTGAAGTATGTGGCGAGTATGTTGGCAACAAGGTCCTGCAAGATGCACACACACACATGTCCACACCAACATGGGTCGCCCACCACATCGCCTGCACACCTCCAACCCTCAAGGTTAATAATACTATACTACTAAATCAAGCTTCGCCTTCCAAGAAATTCAAATTTGAAATCACGTTTACCGTCATAATTATAGACCAGGCAAAACCTATCACGGTATTCGTGCTACGCCGGGGCAAGGGAGAGGAGGGGAGAGGATAGACCAGGGGAGAGGAGGAGGATAGTGGGGTGGAGGGGGTATTAGGGGGGCATGGTGGGGAAGGGGGTCAATGCCCACCTGACTTGCTGCCCTGGTCACTTGAGTGTGACAAGAGAGAGGGGGAGAGACGTGACAACAAGTTGACCCAGTTCACCACAATAACACAACACGAGAGTAAGAGTTTGGGTGTAAAAATGGTTCAGCTCCACGCTTAGTTTCCAAAGATAGCACTCGGATGATTCAGTGTTGCCTGGTATTATCATACGGTAATCTCGTCCCGTTGCGCCAGCAATGTGCTACTAGCCAGCATCCGGCACGTCTTTGGTAGAGACTGCAGAGTTTACCTTGTGATTGGACTCAAAATGTTGCCCGATAGTCAAGTTTGTATCATCTTTATTAGAGCTTACGAGCAAGAGTATTTCTGATGTAGTATTTCTGGAGAAGTATTTCTGGAGTAGTATTTCTGGAGTAGTATTTCTGGAGTAGTATTTCTGGAGTAGTATTTCTGGAGTAGTATTTCTGGAGTAGTATTTCTGGAGTAGTATTTCTGGAGTAGTATTTCTAGAGTAGTATTTCTGGAGTAGTATTTCCACCTTCACAAGGAGCAGGTGTACAGGTCGGCCGGAGAGTTAACACCTGTTTATACTTCTTTACACAGGGTCACAAAATGGGCTTCTTGAACTACACTCAATGTTTGGCCAGCACCTGCTACACCCCCTACACCCACACCCAGGGTGTGTACAGTGCCTGCTACACCCCCTACACCCACACCCAGGGTGTGTACAGTGCCTGCTACACCCCCTACACCCACACCCAGGGTGTGTACAGTGCCTGCTACACCCCCTACACCCACACCCAGGGTGTGTACAGTGCCCGCCATACACCCCCCTACGCTCACACCCAGGGTGTGTACAGTGCCTGCTACACCCACCTACACCCACACCCAGGGTGTGTACAGTGCCTGCTACACCCCCTACACCCACACCCAGGGTGTGTACAGTGCCTGCTACACCCCTACACCCACACCCAGGGTGTGTACAGTGCCTGCTACACCCCTACACCCACACCCAGGGTGTGTACAGTGCCCGCCATACACCCCCCTACGCTCACACCCAGGGTGTGTACAGTGCCTGCTACACCCCACCTACACCCACACCCAGGGTGTGTATAGTGCCTGCTACACCCCCTACACCCACACCCAGGGTGTGTACAGTGCCCGCCATACACCCCCCTACGCTCACACCCAGGGTGTGTACAGTGCCTGCTACACCCCACCTACACCCACACCCAGGGTGTGTATAGTGCCTGCTACACCCCCTACACCCACACCCAGGGTGTGTACAGTGCCCGCCATACACCCCCCTACGCTCACACCCAGGGTGTGTACAGTGCCTGCTACACCCCACCTACACCCACACCCAGGCTGTGTACAGTGCCCGCCATACACCCCCCCAACACCCACACCGTAGCCACCTGCCACTCTACGAACAACTACCGTGAACCATCCCCCATGTTTACACTTGTTTACGCTCATTTACACAATGAACACATTGCTTCTCAACACAAGAGGATGCACCAACTAAACACGACGACCTCACAAACACACTAACCATTGTTTACGTTGGCGTGCGACCAGCCACCACTAACAGCCTCAGTGATCAGGCCGCCACGCACAAAAGCACACCCAACAGGACACACAAGCCAGGCAGCCGTTAGCGTAATGGCTGTCATGATGGCGGGTGATGAGCTGACGAGAGGGGAATTACTGTTGATGTTTATGTCAGCCAACACTGCTCTCCTGTCCTCACCCGTGTCCCCTCAGACCCCCTCCCCTCTTTCCTGTCCCCTCAGATCCCTCCTTTCTTTTCTGTCCCCTCAGACCCCTCCCCTCTTTCCTGTCCCCTCAGACCCCTCCCCTCTTTCCTGTCCCCTCAGACCCCTCCCCTCTTTCCTGTGCCCTCAGACCCCTCCCCTCTTTCCTGTCCCCTCAGACCCCTCCTCTCTTTCCTGTCCCTTATGATCTTTCCCCTTCCATGGCGCCCCTCACATCTTTTTCCCCTCAACCATCTGTGTCCCCTTTCTCTCTTGCGTGTCCCTTCCCCTTATATATGCTTCCATTCTCTCCTCCGCGTTCCCTGTATAATGAATCATTCTCTACCCCCACCCCCCTCAGCGGGGCCTGATCTATCATGTCCCCCCCCCTATTAACCGTCTCTCCTTTGGTACTTTTCATCAATCATTCCCCTCTCCCGTGTGCACCCCTTCCTTCCCCACTCTGTCCTTTTTATCGTCACCGCCTGATACGTCTTGTTCGTCAGTGTCGTCAGGTTAACAGTGTCTCATGTCCACAAGTCTTTAACCGTCGTCTCACTTTCACTCTTCTCCTTCCTGTCTACTATATCCCTGTTTCCTCTTGCTTTCCGTCAATGTGACCTTCGAGGGCGTGTCCGCCAATGTATCCTTCGAGGGTGTGTCCGTCAATGTGACCTTCGAGGGTGTGTCCGTCAATGTATCCTTCGAGGGCGTGTCCGTCAATGTATCCTTCGAGGGCGTGTCCGTCAATGTATCCTTCGAGGGCGTGTCCGTCAATGTATCCTTCGAGGGTGTGTCCGTCAATGTATCCTTCGAGGGCGTGTCCGTCAATGTATCCTTCGAGGGCGTGTCCGTCAATGTATCCTTCGAGGGCGTGTCCGTCAATGTATCCTTCGAGGGCGTGTCCGTCAATGTATCCTTCGAGGGTGTGTCCGTCAATGTGACCTTCGAGGGTGTGTCCGTCAATGTATCCTTCGAGGGCGTGTCCGTCAATGTATCCTTCGAGGGCGTGTCCGTCAATGTATCCTTCGAGGGTGTGTCCGTCAATGTGACCTTCGAGGGTGTGTCCGTCAATGTATCCTTCGAGGGCGTGTCCGTCAATGTATCCTTCGAGGGCGTGTCCGTCAATGTATCCTTCGAGGGTGTGTCCGTCAATGTGACCTTCGAGGGCGTGTCCGTCAATGTATCCTTCGAGGGCGTGTCCGTCAATGTATCCTTCGAGGGCGTGTCCGTCAATGTATCCTTCGAGGGCGTGTCCGTCAATGTATCCTTCGAGGGTGTGTCCGTCAATGTATCCTTCGAGGGCGTGTCCGTCAATGTATCCTTCGAGGGTGTGTCCGTCAATGTGACCTTCGAGGGTGTGTCCGTCAATGTATCCTTCGAGGGTGTGTCCTCCAATGTATCCTTCGAGGGTGTGTCCGTCAATGTATCCTTCGAGGGCGTGTCCTCCAATGTATCCTTCGAGGGTGTGTCCGTCAATGTGACCTTCGAGGGTGTGTCCGTCAATGTATCCTTCGAGGGCGTGTCCGTCAATGTATCCTTCGAGGGCGTGTCCGTCAATGTATCCTTCGAGGGCGTGTCCGTCAATGTATCCTTCGAGGGTGTGTCCGTCAATGTATCCTTCGAGGGCGTGTCCGTCAATGTATCCTTCGAGGGCGTGTCCGTCAATGTATCCTTCGAGGGCGTGTCCGTCAATGTATCCTTCGAGGGCGTGTCCGTCAATGTATCCTTCGAGGGTGTGTCCGTCAATGTGACCTTCGAGGGTGTGTCCGTCAATGTATCCTTCGAGGGCGTGTCCGTCAATGTATCCTTCGAGGGCGTGTCCGTCAATGTATCCTTCGAGGGTGTGTCCGTCAATGTGACCTTCGAGGGTGTGTCCGTCAATGTATCCTTCGAGGGCGTGTCCGTCAATGTATCCTTCGAGGGCGTGTCCGTCAATGTATCCTTCGAGGGTGTGTCCGTCAATGTGACCTTCGAGGGCGTGTCCGTCAATGTATCCTTCGAGGGCGTGTCCGTCAATGTATCCTTCGAGGGCGTGTCCGTCAATGTATCCTTCGAGGGCGTGTCCTACAATGTATCCTTCGAGGGTGTGTCCGTCAATGTATCCTTCGAGGGCGTGTCCCGCAATGTATCCTTCGAGGGTGTGTCCGTCAATGTGACCTTCGAGGGTGTGTCCGTCAATGTATCCTTCGAGGGTGTGTCCTCCAATGTATCCTTCGAGGGTGTGTCCGTCAATGTATCCTTCGAGGGCGTGTCCTCCAATGTATCCTTCGAGGGTGTGTCCGTCAATGTGACCTTCGAGGGTGTGTCCTCCAATGTATCCTTCGAGGGTGTGTCCGTCAATGTATCCTTCGAGGGCGTGTCCTCCAATGTATCCTTCGAGGGTGTGTCCGTCAATGTGACCTTCGAGGGTGTGTCCGTCAATGTATCCTTCGAGGGCGTGTCCGTCAATGTGACCTTCGAGGGTGTGTCCGTCAATGTATCCTTCGAGGGTGTGGCCGTCAATGTGACCTTCGAGGGCGTGTCCGTCAATGTATCCTTCGAGGGCGTGTCCGTCAATGTATCCTTCGAGGGTGTGTCCTCCAATGTGTCCTTGAGGGCGTGTCCTCCAATGTATCCTTCGAGGGTGTGTCCGCCAATGTATCCTTCGAGGGCGTGTCCGTCAATGTGACCTTCGAGGGTGTGTCCTCCAATGTGTCCTTGAGGGCGTGTCCTCCAATGTATCCTTCGAGGGTGTGTCCGCCAATGTATCCTTCGAGGGCGTGTCCGCCAATGTATCCTTCGAGGGCGTGTCCGTCAATGTATCCTTCGAGGGCGTGTCCGTCAATGTGACCTTCGAGGGTGTGTCCTCCAATGTGTCCTTGAGGGCGTGTCCTCCAATGTATCCTTCGAGGGCGTGTCCGCCAATGTATCCTTCGAGGGTGTGTCCGCCAATGTATCCTTCGAGGGCGTGTCCGCCAATGTATCCTTCGAGGGCGTGTCCTCCAATGTATCCTTCGAATGCGTGTCCGGCAATATAAGCAGCGTCCTCCTCCTCCACCCTGCCCTGACGTACAAACTTAACCAACAAAACTGTCTAAGAAAAAAAAATACAGGCAACGAAGATGTTGAGGAAGACGAAGGAGAACCACCGACCTTGCGGGGAGCACGAGCAACAAACGACAAGTTGCATAATGACAACTTGTAACTCTGCAAGAAACTCACCCAGCCATTCATGTCCTCTTTCTCTTCAGACCCAAAAACTTTAAACTTCAATTTTCACAGAACCATTTAGGAACAAAGAGAACCCATACGGAGTGAGATCAAGCAAGGCGGCCCCCCGTTTTCTATGCCCACCACAGCCCATAAAACAAACATTATGATTATTCTTATAGCCCCAAAAGACAACCTTAAACTCAATGAGCATAAATTTTGATAGTTGGCCCTACAAAAAGAGAGTGGAAGGTGGTGGAGAAAATGGTGCAGGTGATTGGGGGGGGGGAGGGGCTTACCTAACACTACTTGGCCTAGTAGTGACTATCCCCCGCCAAACACACAACGAATCTACGACGTTGCTACAACGTTCCAACAAGTTTTAACACCTCCTAACCAGTTATAACAACCAATATATCAAGTTGTGACAACGTTCTAATCCGTCTTAAACACGTTAATGTATGTTAATGTACGTTAAGCCAAACTGTAACAACTTTATTACAAATCCACAAGGGCCGTGACGAGGATTCGAACCTGCGTCCGGGAGCATCCCAGACACTGCCTTAATCGACTGAGCTACGACAGGGTAAAAGGGTTGAAACCGAAGTTCTACTGAACCTACTGGATCCCGTAGCCTCTCCGAGGCACAAACCCCTTGTGGATGTGTTCATTTGATGCATCACGTTAGTGTGATATCTGTGTGTGAACTTTATTACAAGTTGTAACAAGCAGAAAATAGGGACAGTTACGGGTTGTGTTTCCAGAGTATGGGGTCAGTGAGGTCAAGATCGTTATGCCGCCCCGACTACTATCCTTGTTGAAGGGGGTGATTATCTCTCGTCGTTGAATGGTTTTTGTCGCATCAGGCTCTTGGGATAGGGGGGATGGAGGCGGCCTCCAGGCCTTCCCTATCGGGGCATTCCATTGACTGACCCCGACTGACGACTTACCTTTCTCTGGTTCGTTTCGCATTCCTGTTGTGTCGTCTTTGAAAGTTCTCGCTCAAATTAAATGTGGTAGAGGGGAAAGAAGTTGTGGTAGTGGTGATAGTGAGAGTTTAGGTGGTGGTGATACTAGTAGTTAAGGTGGTGGTGGTGGTGATAATAGTGGTTGAGGTGATAGTGGTAGTAGAGATTGAGAGTTGTGGATGTAGTTGTGACTTAAAGAGTGGTTGTGGGAGGATCTTGGCTGGAACGATTTTTTTTTTATCTTTACTGGTGATAAAGCTAATATTACCTGTGACATTTTTAGATGTTCCCTCCATTCCTCTCCATTATCCAACCCGTTCTCGCAAATTTAATAAGTCAATATTGACTTATTAAATATGTGCATAGGTGACATACTTAACATAATAGATACCCTTAAACAGATTCATAGAAAACACCGACCTTACCTAACCTTGTTAGTATCTTAAGATAAGCATCTTATTGCTTCGTAATTACAATTATTACTTAACCTATAATAGGTATAGGTTAAGTAATAATTGTAATTACGAAGCAATAAGATGCTTATCTTAAGATACTAACAAGGTTAGGTAAGGTCGGTGTTTTCTATGAATCTTTTTAGGGGTATCTATTATGTTTAGTATATCACCTATGCACGTAGTTAATAAGTCAATATTGACTTTACGAATTTGCGAGAACGGGTTGCCATTATCCCCAATCCCACAATTTTTTTTTTTAGCAAAAACGGCTATTTTTATCACTGGATCACAGGAATACTGCCCAATAACGAATATTAGGGTCAGTTTAATGACACACAAACACCCACACCCACACCCACACACACACACACACACACACACACACAGGGAGAAGAGAAAGCACTAGGATAAATACGAGGGGGGAAGAGTTATGGCACCGTTGTGTAAATGCCACAGAAAATGGACTCGGAAAATATTTGTGGAACAAATGCAGAAAAAGGCTCAAATATCAGGTGTGTGTGCGTATGCGCGCGCGTGTGTGCGTGTGCGTGTGTGTGTGTGTGTGTGTGTGTGTGTGTGTGTGTGTGTGTGTGTGTGTGTGTGTGTGTATTTACTATTTGTGTCTGCAGAATCGAGCTATTAGCTCTTGGACCCCGCCTTTCTAACAAATCTATTTTTCCTCTATTATTTCTACTACATATATGTCTCTAACACACTCACACACACACATCCCCAGGAAGCAGCACGTAACAGCTGTCTAACTTCCAGGTACCTATTTTCTGCTAGGTGAACAGGTGCATCAGGTTGTGTGTGTGTGTGTGTGTGTGTGTGTGTGTGTGTGTGTGTGTGTGTGTGTGTGTGTGTGTGTGTGTGTGTGTGTGTGTGTGTGTGTGTAAACACAAGCAGCTGAGTTAAAGCTGCAAGAATGGTATACACTCCAGGAGACACAGGGGAGAGCAAGAGACAATCAGCAAAATCGACTGAACGTCAAAACATTAATTGTCCTCTCCAAAGCACAACGTCAAATCCTCCTCCTGTATCGGGCCCTATGTTAAGGGAGGTTACCTTGAGGTGCTTCCGGGGCTTAGCGTCCCCGCGGCCCGGTCGTCGACCAGGCCTCCTGGTTGCTGGACTGATCAACCAGGCTGTTAGACGTGGCTGCTCGCAGCCTGACGTATGAGTCACAGCCTGGTTGATCAGGGAGGTGGAACATTCAGCGGTGACAACAAACAAATACTCAGCACACAATATACTCTCCTCTCAGAGAACCCTTAAACTGGGAGAAAACTGACAACCCTAATCGGGCTTTGATTCCCAACTCAGAATGCGTGTGGCGGCGTCCAACAGCCTGGTTGATCAGAGACCGGGCCACGGGAACACAGATCCTCGGGGACCAACTGAAGGTATGCACCCCATCATCCTTGTCAAGTTGACCACGTTAAATTTTAACAAATCAGCTATGGGTCTAGTCGTATTTATTCTCTCCAAAGTCTGATTAAATACTTATGTACTTGTTAAACACTTTAAGTACTTATCAGTGGCTCAAGACATGCTTCACTGACTTCAAGTCTCTTGTAAACACACTTAAATGAATCAAACTAAACATTACCTTAATATGTGTACGATATCTTCCTGTATTTAGAATATCAAATCTACAAAATAAACACAAGTTAAATCGCGGTACTGATTATAAAACCCAATTATAAGTTCACTTCCGTACTCACCATTAGTGTTTATCTGTATATATATGCTAAATGATACGTTATCTTCAATGACTATAAATATCGCATCATTATCTATTGAAATAACTCAATTTAACAATCAGTTGGAAAAATGGTCATTTGCACCACAATCAGCTGGCACCAGTGGCACCATTACCAGTGGCAGGGTCACCAGTGGCAGGGCCACCAGTGGCAGGGTCACCACGTGGCACCATTACCAGTGGCAGGGTCACCACGTGGCACCATTACCAGTGGCAGGGTCACCACGTGGCACCATTACCAGTGTCACCAGTGGCAGGGTCACCACGTGGCACCATTACCAGTGTCACCAGTGGCAGGGTCACCACGTGGCACCATTACCAATGTCACCAGGTGGCACTGGCACTACCACCCGGGGCCATCAGCAGGAGCCGGACGTGTCGGCGGTGAAATACGAGTCACGACACTGTCCTCATTATCACAGACACGACTGCGGACGACCTTCCATCCTGCCTAATGACCACTAATCAATCACGACCCTCTTGCGTTGTTTCCAGGACCACCTTCTTGAGAGGTTATCTTGAGATGATTTCGGGGCTTTAGTGTCCCCGCGACCCGGTCCTCAACCAGGTCTCCACCCCCAGGAAGCAGCCCGTGACAGCCGACTAACACCCAGGTACCTATTTTACTGCTAGGTAACAGAGGCATAGGGTGAAAGAAACTCTGCCCATTGTTTCTCGCCGGCGCCCGGGATCGAACCCTGGACCACAGGATCACAAGTCCAGCGTGCTGTCCGCTCGGCCGACCGGCTCCCTTAGTCTTCCCCTTCCCTTCACTTCCATAGTCAACAAAATAAAATCCAGCCCATCAACCGTGAAGAGCTCAGTCCCCCAGGGTACTGTGCTTGCTCCAGTACTTTGCCAGTAGAAGTGACTCGAACCCATACTGCCAGGAGCACTCTGCATCTGGCGTACAGGACACCTTAACCACTCGACCAATAGAGTGCCGGCTGGGGGATGGGAATTTGCCTCGGCTACCATCCTCTTTTGTCCGGTCGTGTTGGTCGAGTGGTTAAGGTGTCCTGTACGCCAGATGCAGAGTGCTCCTGGCAGTATGGGTTCGAGTCACTTCTGGGGTGTGAGTTTTCAGTTGCATATAGTCCTGGAGACCGTTCAGGCTTGTTCGCATGCATTATATATATATATATATATATATATATATATATATATATATATATATATATATATATATATATATATATATATATATATATATATATATATATACACACACACACACCTATAACTGAGAGATTTTGTGTCTGATTGTACGTTTCTCTTAAGTTAAATGCCAGACGCTTGGCGCTAGGCTCACTCAAATTTGCCAGGGAAATAGTACGGGACGGACATAAGCTAGTATGAGGGGAAAGCCCAAGTTAAATACTATAAGAAATATTAGCAATTATAAACACATCCAGGCCATTGTCATGGAGTACCTCGCAGACACGCGTGTGAAATATGGCGAGTGATTAACGTGGAGTTGGTACCAAAGCGAGACAAAAACTGGATATAGGAAGAGAGGAGAAAGGAAATTCAAAATATCCGCAAGACTTTGAGATAGGTAGATAGAGATAGGTAAAGATGAAGGGAGGGGAGACGAGAGACTCGGGCATCTCTGGGTACTCCCTTTTTTCTTATATAGCAAATTATTACTGAAAAAAAATGAACGATAGGCTTCATAATTACAGCCTCATCGAACCGTGTTTCACTGTTCCCAAACACTAACCACAGAACAAGACAAACCAAGAGGTTCTGATAAAAGTATTTATGTTTAACAATTATCTGGGACGACCGCCTTGATAAGACCTAAGGGACGAAAACAACAGAGTGAATGAACCCTTAAAGGGGGAGAGAGGGAGGGAGAGAGAGGGAGGGAGAGAGAGGGAGGGGGGGACGGGAAGCCATACCCATGTTTGAGAGCGATTACTGTACACCTAAACAATCATTAGACGCTGTTATAATGTGGTATTCCACGAGTGTCCTACTCTACCTAATGTGGGCAACTGTTCAACACCCGCCCCCACCACCCACAACGTGCACCTGCCCGCCCCCACCACCCACAACGTCCAGCTGCCCGCCCCCACCACCCACAACGTCCAGCTGCCCGCCCCCACCACCCACAACGTCCAGCTGCCCGCCCCCACCACCCACAGAGGCACCAGTACACGCCAACACCAGTACAACTTTAACTCCAGGAGCCAGGCTCCCCATCACCTCCATATCCACCCCCCATCCCCCACCCATGGAGGGGTGAGGGGTGGCGGGGGGTGGCGCACTTCAAGATAAAGGGGAGGGTCCACGCGGTACTACGGGCAGGGTGGAAATAGCACACCACCACTGATATACAATTTCACGAGGGTTTAAAGCATCGTCACTGTGTGCGTGCGCGCGTGCACTCACACACACTAAACGTAAATTATATAATTTCCGTTAACAATTACGTGAACATCCTTCACACACACACACACACACACACACACACACACACACACACACACACACACACACACACACACACACACACACACACACACACACACACACTCCTCCTTCCACCTGTGTGTGTGCTCGCGGGGGTTGAGCTTCGGCTCTTTGGTTCCGCCTCTCAACCGTCAACCAACTGGTGGAGAAGGTTCCTGAGCCTACTGAGCTCTATCATATCTACACATCTACAAGCAGGTGGGTTATCGTCTTGAGGTTATCTTGAGATGATTTTGGGGCTTAGCGTTCCTGCGGCCCGGTCCTCGACCAGGCCTCCTTTTTGTTACACATCCCCCAGGAAGCAGCCCGTAGCAGCTGTCTAACTCCCAGGTACCTATTTACTGCTAGGTAACAGGGGCATCAGGGTGAAAGAAACATTTTGCCCATTTGTAACCGCCTCCACCGGGGATCGAACCCGGAACCTCAGGACTACGAATCCGAAGCGCTGTCCACCCAGCTGTCAGGCGCCCAACGGCGGCCAACCACAGGGAAACAACAAAAATCAATCAAGTACAGGCGACTGGAAGGTCAATACACCTTTGTTCCTTATAGCGTCTGAGACGCATGGCCCCTGGGGTAGGAGTGCCTGGGAATTTCTCAAGGAATTTAGTGATGTCAATGATCCTGGAACCCGAGACCCGAGAGCTGCCATTTTTTTGTTTCAGCGCCTCAGTGTGGCGATCCAGAGAGGAAACGCCTTCTGCGTCCTCGGTTCCTGTCCGGAGGCGGAGGAGCTCCAAGAGATCCATAACCTCTAAATATCTAATAAAGCACAACAAAACACAAAAGGGAGGGATGGTAGGAAGAAAGCACTCAAAAACTGTATTGGGGGAACCTAAACATTCCCTCTAATGCATTATGTGTGATTTCCTCCGAGGCTAAGGGTCCCATTCTACCAGAGGTGGTACTCACACTATAAATGATCTAAAAACATAATTGAGAAACATATATCGCCTTGATTTTTCTGTTCTCAACTTGGGCGTATAACTCTTTGTATTACCAGTATGTATAGTGTTTCCTTTGGCCATCATGATGTAATATGCGCCTTTAGTATTGTGCGGGCGACGGCCGCATGATGGCCAAACACACTATACACACTGGTAATACAAGAAGAGTTATACGCCCAAGATGAGAACAGAAAATCAAGGAGATTTGCCAAGAAAAAATCATGTTTGAAAACTATAAGAAACACTATATCAAAGACTCGGGTAACACGAACACTGGAAGCCACCAGCGCGCAACACAAGAGTGGGGGCCTGTGTGTGTGTGTTCCAGGGGCTGGTGGCTCAGTGAGTCAACACACGCTGGGTATTCCAGAAGCCTCCAGACACAGGACCATACCCCACCCCAAGGACAAGGCAAAATCGCGACTGGAATTGAGGAAGATGGAGACGTGTCTCCATCTTCCTCAATTCACTATTGTGACACCATCAATCACTGACCCCCACTACGGGGCCTCGTAGCCTGGTGGAGGGGCCTCGTAGCCTGGTGGATAGCGCGCAGGATTCGTAATTCTGTGGCGCGGGTTCGATTCCCGCACGAGGCAGAAACAAATGGGCAAAGTTTCTTTCACCCTGAATGCCCCTGTTACCTAGCAGTAAATAGGTACCTGGGAGTTAGTCAGCTGTCACGGGCTGCTTCCTGGGGTGTGTGCGCGCGTGTGGTGGGGGGGAGGGAAGTAGTTAGTAAACAGTTGATTGACAGTTGAGAGGCGGGCCGAAAGAGCAAAGCTCAACCCCCGCAAACACAACTAGATGAACTGGTAACTGCCCCTTAGTCTTACTCTGCCTCTGCCAGTCTTACCCGCCTTGCGTCGCCTTTTTTCGTATTAAAGATAAAATTTGCATTTATGCAGCTACTCAAGACTACACGAAGGGTTACCTAGTGTCAAGAGCACCATGTGATACCACCACCTCCCCCTCCATCTTGCAGGACGGTCAGCCACATAGAGGCATATACCATCAGTAGCATGGCACTGGTCGACTTCGGGTGCATTATGAGGATATCTTCAAGAACACGAACGAGGATAAAGTAATTACAAAGCTCTCCTTACCTACCGGGAGGTCTCAAGGGTCTAATGACTGGACATTTAATTATGTAGTTTTTCTTCCCGAGATCACTCCCTCGTTCCTAGTCGAGAGCACTCCAGCAGAGCTCCAGCAGAGAGCGCGCCGCTCAGTGCTTCACACAAACACTCAACATTACGCCATGCTCCCTCACATTAACATTCCATATCTTGTGCCGCTTGTCTGCGTTACGTCACGGCCAAACATTAAATCCTAACTGGAGAATCATAACGAAATGGCTCACGTTTGGCTCTGATTTCAATGGATTCCCGACGCTCAAATAAAAAAAAAAAAAAAAAAGCCAGGATCTAAAAGGTGAACTGTCGGGGCTGGCCTGAAGGGACTGTTGGGGCTGGCCTGAAGAGACTGCCGGAGCTGGCCTGATGGGACTGCCGGGGCCTGAAGGGACTATCGGGGCTGGCCTGAAGGGACTATCGGGGCTGGCCTGAAGGGACTGTTGAGGCTAGCCTGAAGGGACTGCCGGGGCTGGCGTCAGTGGAGCGCCTAAAATACGGTCACACGTGATCCTTATCCAGTATAATCTCCAGGCAGTGTTTAACTGACATAACTCTGCGAGACGGATGAGCGAGTCTGGCTGGATACCAATATTACCTGCCCACCACGGGCCAACCGTCATGCCTTCATAACAACGTCCCTATCAGAGTATTACGGTGCATTACCTCCGACTCTGCAAGCCATTCCAGGGCAGTTGTGGCACGCCTAGGACACTATAATCAATATGAAAATCTGAAAATGGCTTTAAATGTGCACACTGAAACAGCTCCCCGCGAGAGCGTAAAGCAGGGCGGTATGTGTAAAGAACAAACCCATTGAAAAATATTGGTGAAACAAGTATTCGCTAAATATACAGCGTTAATCCTGTGTATCACTGTCCCGGCTGCTCTGTACCCGACCTGGCCT